AGGGCCTGTAGAGTCAGCATGCGGTAGGATTCCCCCTGAGGATGCCTCTCCCGCTGGACTAATTGCTGCTTGCTCTTTTACTAATTAATAGAGATACTTCAAAAATGAGGGTTAACCGTTGGAGAGGATTTCCGCCGCAGGCATTTGTGTTTTGGAATTCTGAGATTAAACTGATAATAACTTAATCACGCAATATAATCACGAGGAGCAGCTGTTCCCGTCCAGACCGTTCATCCGTGGCTTCACAGGGCTTGGGCGTCGCTCCGAAGGGTCACCATGGGCAGTGTGACCACAAATGTCTCTGACACCGCGATACATCCTCTGACACCGCGATACATCCTCTGACACCGCGATACATCCTCTGACACCCGCGATACATCCTCTGACACCGCGATACATTCTCTGACACCGCGATACATCCTCTGACACCGCGATACATTCTCTGACACCACGATACATCCTCTGACACCGCGATACATCCTCTGACACCGCGATACATCCTCTGACACCGCGATACATCCTCTGACTTTATGCCCTCAGAGACTCCACAGAGAATGAGACAGTGGCCCAATGCAGGGGCCCCCGGGCAATAGGGGATCATGGGGCCCCTGTGTCCTTGCCCAAACTCAAAAAAGCCTATGAAAAAGGTACCAGGGGCATCTCATGGGGCCCCCTACTGACCCCGGGCTCTCGGGCAGTGCCCGAGTTTCCAAATGGTCAGTCCCCCGTGGCCCAATGTGAATCCAGCATTGGATCTTCATCAAGGATCCTTTGGACCTTCTCACTAAAACAAAATTCTGTTACAGACTGGTGGGCACTTTTATGCATGAAAAAAGAAAACTACTGTGGGAAAATCTCCTCATTGTGGGAGGGGCAGAGACACAAAGTAATGGGGGGAATCTCCTCATTGTGGGAGGGGCAGAGACACAAAGTAATGGGGGAATCTCATCATTGTGGGAGGGGCAGAGACACAAAGTAATGGGGGAATCTCATTATTGTGGGTGGGGCAGAGACACAAAGTAATGGGGGGATCTCATCATTGTGGGAGGGGCAGAGACACAAAGTAATGGGGGAATCTCATTATTGTGGGAGGGGCAGAGACACAAAGTAATGGGGGGAATCTCATCATTGTGGGAGGGGCAGAGACACAAAGTAATGGGGGAATCTCATCATTGTGGGAGGGGCAGAGACACAAAGTAATGGGGGAATCTCATCATTGTGGGAGGGGCAGAGACACAAAGTAATGGGGGAATCTCATTATTGTGGGTGGGGCAGAGACACAAAGTAATGGGGGGATCTCATCATTGTGGGAGGGGCAGAGACACAAAGTAATGGGGGGATCTCATCATTGTGGGAGGGGCAGAGACACAAAGTAATAGGGGAATCTCATTATTGTGGGAGGGGCAGAGACACAAAGTAATGGGGGGATCTCATCATTGTGGGAGGGGCAGAGACACAAAGTAATGGGGGAATCTCCCCATTGTGGGAGGGGTAGAGATACAAACTACTGCAGGGAAATCTCCCCATTGTGGGAGGGGCAGAGACACCAACTACTGCAGGGAAATCTCCCCATTGTGGGAGGGGCAGAGACACCAACTACTGCAGGGAAATCTCCCCATTGTGGGAGGGGCAGAGACACCAACTACTGCAGGGAAATCTCCCCATTGTGGGAGGGGCAGAGACACCAAAAACTGCAGGGAAATCTCCCCATTGTGGGAGGGGCAGAGATACAAACTACTGCAGGAAATCTCCCCATGCAGAGACAAATCTCCCCATTGTGGGAGGGGCAGAGACACAAACTACTGCAGGAAATCTCCCCATTGTGGGAGGGGCAGAGACACAAACTACTGCAGGAAAATCTCCCCATTGTGGGAGGGGCAGAGACACAAACTACTGCAGGAAATCTCCCCATTGTAGGAGGGGCAGAGACGCAAACTACTGCAGGGAAATCTCATCATTGTGGGAGGGGCAGAGACGCAAACTACTGGAGGGAAATCTCCCCATTGTGGGAGGGGCAGAGACACCAACTACTGCAGGGAAATCTCCCCATTGTGGGAGGGGCAGAGACATAAATTACTGCAGGGAAATCTCCCCATTGTGGGAGGGGCAGAGACACAACTACTGCAGGGAAATCTCCCCATTGTGGGAGTGGCAGATACACAAACTACTGCAGGGAAATCTCCCCATTGTGGGAGGGGCAGAGACACAACTACTGCAGGAAATCTCCCCATTGTGGGAGGGGCAGAGACACAAACTACTGCAGGGAAATCTCCCCATTGTGGGAGGGGCAGAGACACAACTACTGCAGGAAATCTCCCCATTGTGGGAGGGGCAGAGACACAAACTACTGCAGGGAAATCTCCCCATTGTGGGAAGCTTCTACATTGGGAATACTAGAAAACGACCGTCATTTAAAATAAATGTCTTCCTGCAATATCTACGTCTTCGCACAGTAACTGGCCGGACGCCAAACGCGGCAAAAGATTAAGACAAAATGTTTTGGGATTAAAGCTCTCGTCGCTGGCCGGGGGGGGGGGGAGGGGGGAGTTTTCTCCATCGATTTTTAGCAGCGCAAATGAGATGCTAGGAAGTCTTTAACCTGAGCTGTGTTGCTATGGCAACTAGGGATGTCTATTTGGAAGTGAGAGTGCCCCATTTTCACGCCACGCTGGGGGGATCATGATGTACGGTATGGAGAGGCGCCCAGAGAGTGCGGGAAACGCTGCAGAGACACTCAAACTGCCTGTGGCTCCCTCCCCTCCACCCCAGCCTGCCTTCCTGCAAGTGAAAAAAAATCCACACTGGGGATCCAAGGGTTAAAATCTCCATTTCGCTTTGCTGCGGGAGGCTTCCCCGCGGTCGCCGGACATCAAAAGGGCCATTACTTAATCCCTTCTGCACTGGAGACCAATGCCGCGGCCAGTCTAACTGTACCTGATGTGTGATTTCAGCGGTCAGAGGGCTATGTGGTACCAGCTGAGTCCTCCGGGGGGAACGAACGTTATTAAATGTGAATTATTAAAGGGACAAGACGAATTTTACCGGAAGCGCTTCCCATTAAATCATTCTAAACTGACGTGCGCCGCCTTTGAAGGAAGACGATAAAACCGTAAATGACTTCATTAAGAAATTAATTTATTTTTGCCCGTTAATGACAGCTCTGTGCGAAACGCGTAGCTTGCCATGGCTGGGAGTGGTTGCTGTTGTGCCAGGGGCGGACTGACCATTTGGGAACTCGGGCACTGCCCGAGGGCCCGGGGTCAGTAGGGGGCCCCATGAGATGCCCCTGATACCTTTCATAGGCTTTTTTGGGTGTGGTTTGAGTGCGGGCGAGGACACAGGGGCCCCATGATCTCTTATTGCCCGGGGGCCCCATGAGTTGTCAGCCTGCCCCTGTGTTGTGCCCATCCTTTAGCTTCAGTGCAGATCAGGATTCCTGAGCTGAGTCAGTGATTCATAAAGTGCTGAAGCCAGAGACAGCCAAGCACTGAACATTTTCAGGAGGAGGTCAGCAGAAGAAACCCTAGTACTTGGCACTTTCCTATTCTGCCTGAGGCTTCTGAGGGACCTGAATCCCTCAGACCCTTGGAAATGCTGCCACTCCCTACTGCCAGATTCTACATGCTGCTGGATGAGGGAAACCCTGCTAGAGTGGACGAGATCTGACCCTGGAATTCTCAAGGGAATTCAGAAGGCCCAGGATGATGTCCCCTTCCTGACCGCTTTGAGGTCAATACAATCCCTGCTATACAGGCGCAATCAAGTGCCACAGTTATAATACGGCCTTCTTTGCCCACCAAAACTGAAATTTTAGTGGATGCTGGAGAGGGTACAACACCTGAGAGATTCTTCTGTGTCTCAACTTATGGAGTTCCTGGGTCTGCACACCTATTGTGGCCATCTCATGGTCTTCATGTTTCTGTCATGAGAGGTTTCCTTTGAAGGAAACCTGTCATGAAGGAAGCCAACTGTCAACCATTCAGGGTCGGAGGCCAACATGGCCAAGGGAAGGCATGCCCCCCCCCCCCGCAAGGGATGCTGCAGAGGTGAGCTCTGCCTTCACTGTCACCTCCAGGAGTCAAGCCATAACAGCTTCCATGGACGAACGATAGCTGGCCAAACAAATTCTCTCTGATAGGGTTCACGGAACAGATTCTGACTGATAGCTTTGGCTAGACAGATTCTTTTTGATAGAGTTGGCTGGTCAGATCTTCTTTGGTAGGGTTGGCCAGTCAGATTCTCATTGATAAGGCTGGATAGAAATATTCTCTCTGATGGGGTTGGCCAAACAGACTCTCTTTGATAGCATTGGCCAGACACTATGATTTCTTCTGATCAGGCTGATTCTCTGTGATAGGGTTGGCCAGACAAATTCTCTCTGATGGAGTTGGCCAGACAGATTCTGTCCAATGGGGTTGGCCAGACAGACTCTCTTTGATAGCATTGGCCAAACATTATGATTCCTTTTGATAGGGTTGGCCAGACAGATTCTCTCCAATGGGGTTGGCCAGACAGATTCCCTCTGATAGGGTTGGCCAGACAGAGTCTCTCTGATGGGGTTGGCCAGACAGATTCTCTCCAATGGGGTTGGCCAGACAGACAGATTCTCTCCCAATGGGGTTGGCCAGACAGATTCTCTCCAATGGGGTTGGCCAGACAGATTCTCTCCAATGGGGTTGGCCAGACAGATTCTCTCCAATGGGGTTGGCCAGACAGATTCTCTCCAATGGGGTTGGCCAGACAGATTCTCTGTGATAGAGTTGACCAGACAAAGTTTCTCCAATGAGGTTGGCCAGATAAAGTCTCTCCAAGGGGTTGGCCAGACAAAGTCTCTCCAATGGGGTTGGCTGGACAGATTATCTCTGATAGGGTTGGCCAGAGAGATTCCCTCTGATAGGGTTGGCCAGAGAGATTCCCTCTGATAGGGTTGGTCAGAGCAATTCTCTATGATAGGATTGGCCAGACAGTTTGAGGTCACGACCGGCAATGACGCAACATACCTGTGACTCCTGAAGGTCTGCATTGTCCGTGATCTGTATCCGGCAGGGTGGGCTCTTCTCCTGGACGGAGCTGGGGTCGCTGGCGGTGTGGACTCTTGGCATGGGCTGGTGATCAGCAATCTGGCTGGTGCTGTACGCCCGGCGCTGGAAGCTGCAATCAGAGGCTGCAGGAGAAAATGGAACTTTTAGAGAGAAGTCCTGACTCCATCCTGCCGGTTGGGGCCCTAACGTTCACTAAGCTTTTCTCAACTATACAAAGTCCCAAAAATCAGGACTGCTCTTCAAAGTCAGGACAGCCGGCAGATAGGAAGGGGTGATTTAGGGGCGTGACCTTTGACCTCCGACCACCTACCACCGTCGTGTTCTCCAGACAGGTCTTCTTTAGCGTTCAGGAATTCCGTGCTGTGTTCTGACGGAAGTCCACCCATCTTGGTGGCCCCTCGACCCGCTACTCCCGGACGAATCCTGCGACTGGAAGAAGACGGAACTTCCCGATTCCTGGGAGCGCATCATGCTGTATCTCCGCCTCTTGTCCTGCCGGGAGAAGAAGATGGAAATGAAACAAATGAATGTCAGAATGGTAAAGAAATGGGCGCGTGGAATTTGCACCAAAGACAAACGACTCCATTGACTTGCTGAGTGCAGGGGCGGCACTGCCCGAGGGCCCAGGGTCAGTAGGGGGCCCCATGAGATGCCCCTAATACCATTCATAGGCTTTTTTGGGTGTGGTTTTGAGCATGGGTGAGGACACAGGGGCCCTATGATCCTCTATTGCCCGTGGGCCCCCATGAGTTGTCAGTCTGCCCCTGGCTGAGTGTAAACGATCGACGTGAGCTGAGAAAATCGTTTATAGCTGTCATTGGTGGAACAATTTTTTGGGCTTCTAGGAAAAAAAATGGACTGATATTCCCATCTTTTTTTTTTTTACCCCCCTCCCCCCCCCCCATCTTGTTGTTTTGGAACTTTTGCTGACTTTCCAAATTTTAAATAATTCCAAATATAAAATAAAAAAGTTACCAAAATCAGAAATGTTTTTTTAAAAATGATGACTCTACAACTAGTTTTTATAAAGTTTTTCTGATTATTATGATTTTGGTTGCATTTGTGTTTTTTTTTTTTAGATTTGGATAGCTTTTTGTTACCAAAATCAGAAAAAAAAATTCAAAAATGATGACTCTACAACTAGTTTTTAGAATGTTTATTCGATTTATTATGATTTTGGTTGCATTTGTGTGTTTTTTAGATTTGGATTGATAAAGTTCAAATGTGATTTGATTTGCATAAAACTTCACATTGTTACAACCACCTTGTATTTATCTTGTGGTCCTGGGAAAGAGCCGCCGAAACGCGTCGGTATTGGAATATTTTTTTGGGGGGCCCTTATTTCCCTGGTCTGGCACTCTCGTTAGATGTTCTAAACCTGGATCCCCCCTAACTAAAGGCTACCCTGTTAGGGCTGAGGGCAACCTCACTGGAGCCGTTCCGCCATGTTTGAAGGTAAGTGGCCGGGAATTACTGATGAGCCGAATCCATCGATCGTACATGTTCTGGGTTTTTATTTGAATATGTCTTCCCGTTATGGAGATTTACCCTCACTTCCTGTCCTGGTGGAAGGGTGTCATAAGGACAGGAAGTGAGGGTATGCTTCACATGGGTATAAAAACTGAAAAAGAACATTTTCCCACAACTGGGTTTCAAATTTGATTGCAGAACCTTACCTGTTTCTGTTCTGGAGATATTGAAGTGAACTTCTGAAGGGCAAATCTTTCAGCACAAATGCTAAGCGCGAGGGCCCACTCATGCTTTATTTGCAGTCCCACCCATGCTGTAATTGTGGCCCCACCCATGCTGTAATTGTGGCCCCACCCATGCTTTATTTGCAGTCCCACCCATGCTATAATTGCGGCCCCTCCCATGCTGTAATTGTTGCCCCACCCATGCTGCATTGCAGTCCCACTCTTGCTTTAATTGTGGCCCTTCCTGTGCTTTAATTGCAGTCCCACCCATGCTGTAATTGTGGCCCAAACCATGCTTTATTTGCAGTCCCTCCCATGCTATAATTGCGGTTCCCTCCCATGCTGCAATTGTGGCCCCACCCATGCTGTATTTGCAGTCCCACCCGTGCTTTAATTGTGGCCCTACCTGTGCTTTAATTACAGTCCCACCCATGCTGTAATTGCGGCCCCTTCCATGCTGTAATTGCGGCCCCTCCAATGCTGTAATTGCGGTCCCTCCCATGCTATAATTGCGTCCCCACCCATGCTTTAATTGCGGTCCCACCCATGCTGTAATTGCGGTCCCACCCATGCTGTAATTGCGTCCCCTCCCGTGCTGTAATTGCAGTCCCACCCATGCTGTAATTGCGGTCCCACCCATGCTGTAATTGCAGTCCCACCCGTGCTGTAATTGCGGTCCCACCCATGCTGTAATTGCAGTCCCACCCGTGCTGTAATTGCGGTCCCACCCGTGCTGTAATTGCAGTCCAACCCGTGCTGTAATTGCGGTCCCACCCGTGCTGTAATTGCAGTCCCACCCATGCTGTAATTGCAGTCCCACCCATGCTGTAATTGCAGTCCCACCCATGCTGTAATTGCAGGCCCCACCCGTGCTGTAATTGCGGCCCCACCCGTGCTGTAATTGAGGCCCTACCTGTGCTGTAATTGTGGCCCTACCCATGCTTTAATTGCAGTCTCAGTGTTATACAGTGAACATTGTATCCCCAACATGGAAATGCTCGTCGCAGTGGGCGGGGATCAAACCCCAGGTGACATATAGGTAACCAGCAGGTGACTCCGCCCACCACATCCCACCTATGACTGACACTGCTTTTATCCAAGTAGAATGTCGGCAATACAAGGGGGCTTCGGCCTCCACCTTCACGGGAAAGCGATCGTACTCACGGTGCGCGGATTGGAGAGGTAGCGCGAGGTGTTGCACACAACGCCGTAGCCCACCAGCCGGTCCCCCGGGAACAGGAAGCTGGAACTGACCGGAGAGATGAGCACCTCGGTGCATTCTGGGAAAACCCATTCTACGGTGACGTCACTGAGGACCGGAGCCATCGACTTCTTCAGGGACTGCAACATCTGCAGGACAGAGGGAAGGACGTCAGATTACGGTGCGGTCTGTCTCAGGAAACGGTTCAGCCTACCCTAGAACTTACCTGATTCTATTCTGTAGGTACCGAGATCAGCCATCCCGGGGCCCAAATCGTTCGATATGAATGCTAAGATTCTGACTTATTGTAATCGATGTAAAGAGGAAAGTATTGCCGCTTCTCCCATCCAACCGAGGAGAAGAAATTATAAAGAGTGGGCTCAGCCTACATGTCTCCACCAATCCACACACCCTGATGCCTTTTGCCCCACCCACTGGGGGTATAGGGTCTATAGCGGGGGTCTACAAATTTTTCAAACACAAGGCCAGTTTACTGTCCATCATTGGTGTCAGTGGAAGGAATAGTGCCCCATCATTGGTGTCAGTGGGAGGAATAGTGTCCCATCATTAGTATCAGTGGGAGGAATAGTGTCCCATCATTGGTGTCAGTGGGAGGAATAGTGGCCCATCATTGGTGTCAGTGGGAGGAATAGTGCCCCATCATTGGTGTCAGTGGGAGGAATAGTGTCCCATCATTGGTGTCAGTGGGAGGAATAGTGTCCCATCATCGGTGTCAGTGGGAGGAATAGTGTCCCATCATTGGTATCAGTGGAAGGAATAGTGCCCCATCATTGGTGTCAGTGGGAGGAATAGTGCCCCATCATTGGTGTCAGTGGGAGGAATAGTGGCCCATCATTGGTGTCAGTGGGAGGAATAGTGCCCCATCATTGGTGTCAGTGGGAGGAATAGTGCCCCATCATTGGTGTCAGTGGGAGGAGTGATGCCTCTGTTCGGTATCACTGCACAATGAACGGCGTTGTCACCCCATGACAGGAAGTGGAACTTCCCCAGAGTTCCACTTTAATGAGCTGTAGTGCAGTTTGGGGGCCACAAACCTAAAAACATCTGGTGACCCAACTTCCCATTCCACAAAGGGTGTCACTCACCTTCGGCTGTAGCCTCTCCCCTTCCACCAGGAACTCGGCGCTCCCTTTGGACACGCTGGCCACGCCCTGTACCAGTCGGCGGCAGGCGTTCTGACCAATCCCGAAGCTGTAGCATCTAAAGGACACAAAACACAACACAAAGGTGACAACACAGCGAGCGCTTCGGGGTCACCTGGACCCGGTGGTTTTCTTATTTTTAGGGTTTTTTGGGTTTTTGTCACCCATCGAATATCCACAGTTGGGGCATTGTTTATTCGTGTTTAGAAACTCCAAAATGATTATCTATAATATAGTGTAGACTGTGTCATAATCCACCAGCTGCTGACAGGGGCCACAGGAACATGCTCAGGACTTGGAGCGATCTTTTCTTATTATGTGTGGTGTCACAAACCCCCCTCCTATATGTGGTGTCACAAACCCCCCTCCTATGTAAGGTGTCACAAACCCCCCTCCTATGGTGTGGTGTCACAAACCCCCCTCCTATGTAAGGTGTCACAAACCCCCCTCCTATGTAAGGTGTCACAAACCCCCCTCCTATGTGTGGTGTCACAAACCCACCCACCTCTCCCCCCCAAAGCCACCGACACCCACCTTTCATCTTACCGGGTGAAGGAGGAATGGTGGCGGATCAGCTCGATGACCTTCCCCGTGTTGCTGACGGCGCCATCGGTGAGCAGGAAGAGGAGACGCGGGTAACCCCGACACACCGGCTGTCTGAGGATCCAATTCAGAGGAGATAAGATGTTGGTCCCGCCCATGTCGGCCCGCAGCTTCTTGACACTTTCGCAGGCGATGGCCAGACTTTCCTACAAGAGAGAATATTGAATGTTCCCATCGCACCCCATAATAATTATACAAATTATATATTTAAATATAAATTAAATAAATTAATCCTATAAAAAATATATTAATCATTAATGTTGAATGTATTCTATATTATTATTATTTTTAATAATTATACAAATTATATATTTGAATATAAATAAATACATAAATCATATATAAAATATATGAATCATTAATTATTATTGTTGAATGTATTCTATATTATTATTTTTAATAATTATACAAATTATATATTTGAATATAAATAAATAAATACATAAATCATATATAAAAACATAATAATCATTAATTATTATTGTTGAATGTATTGTATATTATTATTATTATTATTTTCAGTAGTTATACAAATTAATATATTTAAATATAAATAAATGAATCATATATAAAATATATTAATCATTAATTATTATTGTTGAATGTATTGTACATTATTAATTTAATAATTATATAATTTTATATTTAAAAATAATGATAATATTAAAAACAAAAAAATTGTATTTTCATTATTAATTTGAATCATTTTATAAATGTTATGTTAAAAAGTAATTATAATATAAAAAAAACTGTATAAATAAATCATATATAAAATATAATAAAGATGAATTATTATTGTTACATTTATTGTATATTCATTATTCATTTTAATAATTATATATAAATGTTATATTTGGACAGCACAGTGGCTCAGTGGTTAGCACTCCCGCCTGGCAGCACTAGGGGGGTCGGTTCAAATCCCAACCACGGCACCACCTGCCTGGAGTTTGCATGTTCTCCCTGTGCCTGTGTGGGTTTCCTCCCACACGCCAAAGACATGCTGGGAGGTTAATTGGTGGTCCCCACCACAGAAGGAAGCCCCCCTGGTGTCACCTCCTATATAGGAATCCAGACTGGTGGTCAGCAGGGGTGGACTGACCATTTGGGCTCTTGGGCGCTGCCCGAGGGCCCGGGGTCAGTAGAGGGCCCCATGAGATGCCCCTGGTACCTTTCATAGGCTTTTTTTGAGTGTGGGCGAGGCCACAGGGGCCCCATGATCCCCTATTGCCCGGGGCCCCATGAGTTGTCAGTCTGCCCCTGGTGGTCAGAGAATATTTTTTGTATCTCCTTTCCAGGAGATACAAAGTAGCAGATTTCGTTTCCTCGTTTCTCTCCCCATAGATGTCACTTTGCTGGAACTTCCTGTTTGTTTCTACAGAATGTATCATTTTTTTATTCCCGCGGATCTGAGACGTTCCCCTGTCCATGGTGATCCCCCATAATGCATTGCACCCCCCCCCCCCTGGGAAGCGTCAGCGCTGTCAATCTCGCAGACAGGGGGGGGGGAATCAATACAACAGACGGACGCGGGCCCTTAATCCTGCTAACCAGGACCGCAGATTCCCCCCCCCCCCCCCCGTCGTGACCGCAAAGAGGCCGCCGCCGCTCCTCTGTTCACTTTTACTTCCCCGCCAGACGAGGACAGCAGATTGCGAGTCGCGGCAGGAATTCCCCTCCCGTAATCCGTGCGATTGGACAAAGCAGGATTAGGCGTCGGCTTTATATAGACACAAGGCGATCCGAAATATTTCACCGAACCGCACGCTGCAAACAGACCGATCCCGATGGTCGCCCCGATCCTGCGACCGCAATCATACTGATTCCGATGGTCGCCCTGATCCTGCGACCGCAATCATACTGATCCTGATGGTCGCCCTGATCCTGCGACCGCAATCATACTGATCCTGCCCTGATGGACCGCCCCGATCCTGGGACCGCAATCATACTGATTCCGATGGTCGCCCTGATCCTGCGACCACCGCAAACAGACCGATCCCGATGGTCGCCCTGATCCTGTGACCGCAATCATACTGATCCTGATGGTCGCCCTGATCCTGCGACCGCAAACAGACTGATCCTGATGGTCGCCCTGATCCTGCGACCGCAATCATACTGATCCTGATGGTCGCCCTGATCCTGCGACCCGCAAACAGCAATCATACCGATCCTGATGGTCGCCCTGATCCTGCGACCGCAAACAGACCGATCCTGATGGTCGCCCTGATCCTGTGACCGCAATCATACCATCATGGTCGCCCCTGATCTGATCCTGATGGTCGCCCTGATCCTGCGACCGCAATCATACCGAATCCTGATGGTCGCCCTGATCCTGCGACCGCAAACAGACTGATCCTGATGGTCGCCCTGATCCTGCGACCGCAATCATACCGATCCTGATGGTCGCCCCGATCCTACGACCGCAATCAGACCGATCCTGATGGTCGCCCTGATCCTGCGACCGCAATCATACCGATCCTGATGGTCGCCCTGATCCTGCGACCGCAATCAGACCGATCCTGATGGTCGCCCCCGATCCTGCGACCGCAATCAGACCGATCCTGATGGTCGCCCTGATCCTACGACCGCAATCATACCGATCCTGATGGTCGCCCTGATCCTGCGACCGCAATCAGACCGATCCTGATGGTCGCCCCTGATCCTGCGACCGCAATCAGACCGATCCTGATGGTCGCCCTGATCCTACGACCGCAATCAGACCGATCCCGATGGTCGCCCTGATCCTGCGACCGCAATCATAGAAATATGCGAATTGTCAGCATCAAAATCATAAAGTGCGCTCAGTTCACCTTCGCTTCTTCTATATAGTCCAGGTTTCAGCAGGCTTTTCCCAGGGACCCTGATATAAGGAGGGACTCTGATGGGGACCCTGATATAAGGAGGGACTCTGATGGGACCCTGATATAAGGAGGGACTCTGATGGGGATCCTAATATAGGGAGGGACTCTGATGGGGATCCTGATATAAGGAGGGACTCTGATGGGGATCCTGATATAAGGAGGGACTCTGATGGGGATATATAAGGAGGGACTCTGATGGAGGGATCCTGATGGGGATATAAGGACTCTGATGGGACTCTGATGGGGGACTCTGATCCTGATATAGGGAGGGAATCTGATGGGGACTCTGGTGTAAAGGAGGGACTCTGATTAGAAAGGTGCAGGCTGAATTGATTTTTGTATTGGGATTTCCGTGTGTTCCTCCTCTGATGATCTGAATGTCGCACTGATCACATGACGCACATTGAACGCAGGAATCCGAGGACCCAGAGTGACCAGCCAATGAGCAGCCAATGAGCAGCGTCCTCTGACCTGTCGCAGGCTTCCTGCGTTTTCATTGGATGGACTTCTATGGGTCACCCAAGACACTAAAATGCAGAAAATCGCTGACACGTCATATTTGTGATGCAGGTCAGAGCTGGGCTGGGAATGGACGCCATCTTTGTTATAGTTCAGCGCATTTCAGCGCGTGCGTCATACCGCCGCCATGTGAATGGGCCCAGAGCTTTCCGGGCTCCATGGGACTGTGAGCGCCGCATCCGGCTCCTGCACCGCAGCTCTGAGGGCAGCAGGTGGCGCTCTTCTTCAACATCTCATCCCGTGCCTCGCCTGCAATACGCACCGACAGAGCTTCCCAATGGGGAATCGGCTCATCCTCCACCCGGGGATCCTCCTGAATGTAAACCCTCCAGAGACGCAACATGGAGACCATTAGTGCGCTCGTGTTCATCAGGTGGGGAAACGCACGGCGAGGGACGCCAAGCAGCACCCGTGACGTTATTTTGCGATTCATTTGCTGAATTCCAGCAAAATCGCCTGACGGTGAACTACAAATCCCAGCAAGCCCCATCACACAGCAAAATGTCACGCTTACCTAAAGCGGAACTCCGCTCTGACATATACCGCAGCGCTGTACAGAGATCACTGAGCCAATCACATCAGTCTCTGTACCAGAGGAGCTTACACTCTAATGTCCCCTCCCCCACAGTCCCATCAGTCTCTGTACCAGAGGAGCTTACGCTCTAATATCCCCTCCCCCACAGTCCCATCAGTCTCTGTACCAGAGGAGCTTACGCTCTAATGTCCCCTCCCCCACAGTCACATCAGTCTCTGTACCAGAGGAGCTTACGCTCTAATGTCCCCTCCCCCGCAGTTCCATCAGTCTTTGTACCAGAGGAGCTTACACTCTAATGCCCCCTCCCCCGCAGTGCCATCAGTCTCTGTACCAGAGGAGCTTACGCTCTAATGTCCCCTCCCCACAGTCCCATCAGTCTCTGTACCAGAGGAGCTTACGCTCTAATGTCCCCTCCCCCGCAGTCCCATCAGTCTCTGTACCAGAGGAGCTTACGCTCTAATGTCCCCTCCCCGCAGTCCCATCAGTCTCTGTACCAGAGGAGCTTACGCTCTAATGTCCCCTCCCCCGCAGTCCCATCAGTCTCTGTACCAGAGGAGCTTACACTCTAATGTCCCCTCCCCCACAGTCACATCAGTCTCTGTACCAGAGGAGCTTACGCTCTATGTCCCCTCCCCCACAGTCCCATCAGTCTCTGTATCAGAGGAGCTTACACTCTAATGTCCCCTCCCCCACAGTCCCATCAGTCTCTGTACAGAGGAGCTTACTCTCTAATGTCCCCTCCCCCACAGTCCCATCAGTCTCTGTACCAGAGGAGCTGGCACTCTAATGTCCCCTCCCCCACAGTCCCATCAGTCTCTGTACCAGAGGAGCTTACGCTAATGTCCCCTCCCCCCACAGTCCCATCAGTTTCTGTACCAGAGGAGCTTACACTCTAATGTCCCCTCCCCCCACAGTCCCATCAGTTTCTGTATCAGACGGTTTTCCATTTACAGTAAAAGTGGGGAGGGGTTCTTTACCATAGGATGGATGAAGCCCCGCCCCTGCAGAGCCATGTGGCGCACTGTGTGATGTATACACTCACCTCATTGTAGCTCTGGCTGCTGGGGAACAGAGACTTGAATGTCGATCCAAATCCAATGATGTTGAAGAGGGAAGTCGGCATGAGACTCTTCAGAATGACCAGCATGGCGTCCTGCAGGGCCCGAGCAGAGGAGAGAAACATGTTGGAACGTACCATCTACATACAGATCTTACACAGTCTCTTCTGTTAGAACCCTCCAAGAATCCAGGTTTTCATGCTATCACCCACCCACTTCCTTCTTCCTGAAGTTCAGGGAGGACAATAGGGGATCATGGGGCCCCTGTGTCCTCGCCCACACTCAAACCACTCCCAAAAAAAGCCTATGAAAGGTACCAGGGGCAAGTCATGGGGCCCCCAACTTACCCCGGGCCCTCGGCCAGTGCCCAAATGTCTGAATGGTCAGTCCGCCCCTGGTTCTCTCACATACCAGCAATAAATCGGTGTCGACTTTCATGCTTGTGGTGATAACAGGCAGTTGTGATTGGCTGGACCACTGATTGGCTTCTTTATTCCTCATAGACCCGACGGAGGAGAACCCCCCCCAACCCCTCTGCCAGTCTGAGGATAGGCCCATCACTGCATCTAGTGCAAAGCCAGACAGAGGTGTCTTACTCCTCCCGCTGCACTCTACGTAATGTAATAACTGAAACTCAGAAAGTGGGAACCCCCGGCTGCAGGAGGTGGGCGGAGCTGGGAACCGCATAGATATCAGAGACCGGAGGGCCATCGACATTTTATAGACTTTGTTTCGGCTTTGGACGAACTTCACCTTTCGAAGCGACAAAATCTCGCGGAAGCGTTCCGGAGGCGATGCGAGGGTTAAAACCCTGTCTCCACAGAGATCCGCAACCCCCTATATTTTTTCATTATCCGAAGGCGCGGATCCCACCGGCTTTGGCGCGCAGCGTGCAATCAACTGCCGCGTCTGTGTGACTTCGCCGGGTGCTAATTATATTTTACACTTTGGAATTAATTATACATTCGGTTATTGCACGTCGCATGCAGGAAAGAGGCGGGGCGGAGAGAGCGCGGAGATCCATCGTGGAAGCGGCATGCTTAGCGTCTGAATAGGCCAGGCGGCGGCGGCCAGCCGATCGGCCAATCAGCGTCCAGCTGTCAGGGTGCATTATCCTTTTTTATGTCTAGAGCAGGGGTGGGCAACTGTGGCCCTCCAGCTGTTGGTGAACTACAAGTCCCATCATGCCTCTGCCTTTGGGAGCCATGCTTGTAACTGTCCGTTTTGCAATGCCTCATGGGATTTGTAGTTCTACAGCAGCTGGAGGGCCACAGTTGCCCACCCCTGGACTAGAGGATCCTTCAGCTGACGCTAAGAGGGGTTAAAGGGAGGGTTAGTGTTGGGGTGACAGGGAAGGTTAGTGTTGGGGTTACAGGGAGGGTTGGTGTTGGGGTTACAGGAGGGTTGGTGTTGGGGTTACAGGGAGGTTAGTGTTGGGGTTACAGGGAGGTTAGTGTTGGGGTGACAGGGAAGGTTAGTGTTGAGGGTACAGGGAAGGTTAGTGTTGGGGTTACAGGGAGGTTAGTGTTGGGGGTTACAGGGAGGTTAGTGTTGGGGTTACAGGGAGGGTTAGTGTTGGGGTTACAGGGAGGGTTAGTGTTGGGGTTACAGGGAGGGTTGGTGTTGGGTTTACAGGGGGGTTAGTGTTGGGGTTACAGGGAAGGTTAGTGTTGGGGTTACAGGGAGGGTTAGTGTTAGGGTTACAGGGAGGTTTAGTGTTGGGTTTACAGGGAGGGTTGGTGTTGGGGTTACAGGAGGGTTAGTGTTGGGGTTACAGGGAGGGTTGGTGTTGGGTTACAGGGAGGTTTAGTGTTGGGTTACAGGGAGGTTGGTGTTGGGTTACAGGGAGGGTTGGTGTTGAGGTTACAGGGGGTTAGTGTTGGGGTTACAGGGAAGGTTAGTGTTGGGGTTACAGGGAAGGTTAGTGTTGGGGTTACAGGGAGGGTTGGTGTTGGGGTTACAGGGAGGGTTGGTGTTGGGTTGGGGGGTTACAGGGAGGGTTGGTGTTGGGGTTACAGGGAGGTTTAGTGTTGGGGTTACAGGGAGGGTTAGTGTTGAGGTTACAGGGAGGGTTGGTGTTGGGGTTACAGGGGGGTTAGTGTTGAGGTTACAGGGAGGGTTAGTGTTGGGGTTACAGGGGGGTAGTGTTGGGGTTACAGGAGGGTTGTGTTGGGGTTACAGGGAGGATTGGTGTTGAGGTTACAGGGAGGGTTAGTGTTGGGGTTACAGGGAGGGTTGGTGTTGGGTTACAGGGAGGGTTAGTGTTGGGTTTACAGGGAGGGTTGGTGTTGGGGTTACAGGGAGGTTGGTGTTGGGGTTACAGGGAAGGTTAGTTTGGGGTTACAGGGAGGGTTGGTGTTGGGTTATAAGGAGGGTTGGTGTTGGGGTTACAGGGAGGATTGGTGTTGAGGTTACAGGGAGGGTTTAGTGTTGGGGTTACAGGGATGATTGGTGTTGAGGTTACAGGGAGGGTTAGTGTTGGGGTTACAGGGAAGGTTGTGTTGGGGTTACAGGGAGGGTTGGTGTTGGGGTTTCAGGGAGGGTTAGTGTTGGGGTTACAGGGAGGGTTGGTGTTGGGGTTTCAGGGAGGGTTAGTGTTGGGGTTACAGGGATGATTGGTGTTGAGGTTACAGGGAGGGTTAGTGTTGGGGTTACAGGGAGGGTTAGTGTTGGGGTTACAGGGGGGTTATGTTGAGGTTACAGGGGGGTTAGTGTTGGGGTCTCTCTGTGGTTGGAGTCTGGGGTTACAGAAACTCTGTGTGGGGTTTCCTGCAGATGAAAGTAAATATCGGGGTTACTTTTGTGCTGGGGTTACAGGGAGGGTTGCCTCTAGAGAAGTTACTGAGGGGGTTCCCTGTTTTAGCCGCCCGGAAGGTTAGTGTCCCCCCTACCAGCCCTGGGATATTTCCTAAGCCCTCCTTGGTCCTTGGGGTCTACAGGCCCAACATTGATTTCCAGGATCTGGAGTCAGACCGGCTGCCATCACCCCGGAACAGAAATATAACATTGGAACCCCCCCGGTGTATTGGGAGGCAGACGGCTTCATCTCAGCGGCACAGGCTCTGCCCTGTTGAAGTTACAGGGACACTCCTGGACCCGCCTCGGGAGACATTAATGGATGTCATTGTGACTTCAGCGGCTGTTGCCAGGAGGAGATGCGAGGTCTCAGGTGATTGGTGTAATGACGTCAACCTGCAATCGTACCCAGAGAATTTCAGAGATGCGTTCCTAGGAGACGACGGGTCAAATTGTGGAAACAGAAAACCACTTGTAGTCGGGGTAAACAATGATGTAATAAACTTACGGGGGGTTAGGGGGGGGAACACAGGGATGATATGCTAGTAATGTAAATAAAAGGGTGGCTTGCAGTAACAATGAATAGACTGGAGGAGGTGCTATTGTCAGAGTGGTTACTTGGAGGGCATCAGGGTAATTGCAAGATAGTTTCTGTATGAGTTGCCCCTAAAGGGAAACTAGAGAGGACTTCTCTGGTACATGACCCCTGAGATGGATGCAGTCAGACATGGAAACGTCTATTCCCTAAGGTCCAGGGATCCCATCTCATTAGAAATCCAGAGCAGCTTTATAATTGGGTACAGAATAAATGTTGAGTGACGTCGCTCCCATTATGTTCGATCAAGGGGGCTGGTCGCTCTATTGTGTGGAGTGGTAAGAAAACCAGCGCAAGCCCACCAAAAAAAGCAAATGTGACAGACAAAAATGTGAAAAGGCCCTGCCCCCCGGACTTCGGGGCTTAACACAAATGAAATGTAATTAAAAGCCCATGTTCATTAGTCCTGTTGTGGGTGCTCAACGATTTCCAAATCTGGGGACCGGCTCATCATGTCCTCGTAGGAAAGGGATGGCTCACCATCCCCCGGTTATTCACCAGATGGTAGGCCATTCCCACAGGCTCTACCTTGATGGCTCCTGGAACCATCTCCTCGTCCACCATGGATGGTATTGGCCATTCAGCCTTTGCCAGGAGGAGATCCACCAGGTGATGGCTAAACATCAACCTTCTCTACCAAGATTACAGGTTAGCTATTCCCAGGAGACTTTAACTTGATGGAAACAGAAAACCACTTGTCTCCACCATGATGGCTAAACAAATGTAATAAACTACGGGGGGGGGGGGGGGGAACACAAACGTATATGCTAGTACCAAATCTGGCTTCTCCACCATGATGGCTAAGGTGCTATCTCCTTCTCCACCATCAGGGTAATTGCAAGATAGTTTCTCCTTCTTGCCACCATAAAGGCTAAGAGGATTCTCTTCTTCACCATGATAGTTGCCATCCCCATCTCTACCTTGATGGCTAACCATCTCCTGCTCTGCCATGATGTCTAAATATCTGGGTGTTTTAAAGATGAGTTAGCCATTCCCTTCTCTACATTGATAGCTGGTCGCTCTATTGTGTGGAGTGGTAAGTAAAACCATTCTCTTCCCACCATGAAAGGCAATGTGACAGACCAAAAATGAAAAGGCCGCCCCCTTCTTCGGGGCTTAACCACAAATGAAATGTAATTAAAACCATTCTCTTCATTAGCCTGTTGATGGCTAACGAAAAACTGGGGATCTCCTGTCCTCCACCATGGGATGGCTCACCATCTCTTTCTTCACCATGATGGTAGGCCATTCTCTTCTCTACCTTGATGGCTAACATCTCCTTGTCCACCATGATGGTTCGGCCATTCCCTTCTCCACCATGATGGCTAAGCATCTCCTTCTCTACCAAGATGGTTAGCTATTTCCCATCATTGCCTAACCAACTTGATGACTACCATCTCCTTCTCCACCATGATGGCTAACCATCTCCTTCTCCACCATAATGGTTAACCATCTCCTTCTCCACCATGGTGGCTAACCATCTCCTTCTTCACCATGATAGTTCGCCATCCCCTTCTCTACCTTGATGGCTAACCATCTCCTGCTCTGCCATGATGTCTAAATATCTCCTGTTTTACCAAGATGGTTAGCCATTCCCTTCTCTACATTGATAGCTAACCATCTCCTTGTCCACCATGGTGGTAGGCCATTCTCTTCTATAGCATGATGGCTAAGCATCTCCTTCTCCACCATGAAGGCTAAGCATCTCCTTCTCTACCAAGATGGTTAGCCATTCTCTTTTTTAACTTGATGGCTAACCATCTCCTTCTCCACCATGATGGCTAACCATCTCCTTTCACCATGATGGTTTAGCCATTCTCTTCTCTACCTTGATGGCTAAACATCTTCTTCTCTGCCATGAATGCTAACAATCTCTTTCACCATCATGATGCCTAACCATTTCCTTCACCACCATGATGGTTAACCATTCCTCTCTCCACCATGATAGATCACCATCACCTTCTCCACCATGATGGTTATCCATCTTTCTCCACCATGATGGCTAACCATCTCCTTCTCCACCATGATGGCTAGCCATTCCCTTCTCTACCTTGATGGCTAACCATCGCCTTCTCCACCGTGAAGGCTAACAATCGCCTTCTCCACCATGATTGCTAACCATCTCCTTCTCCACCATGATGGCTAGCCATTCCCTTCTCTACCTTGATGGCTAACCATCTTCTTGTCCACCATGAATGCTATCAATCGCCTTCTCCACCATGATTGCTAACCAGCTTCTTTCTCCACCATGAATGCTATCCACCGCCTTCTCCCCCATGATAGCTAACCATCTCCTTCTCCACCATGATGGCTAGCCATTCCCTTCTCTACCTTGATGGCTAACCATTCCCTTCTCTACCTTGATGGCTAACCATTCCCTTCTCTACCTTGATGGCTAACCATTCCCTTCTCTACCTTGATGGCTAACCATCTTCTTCTCCACCATGAATGCTAACCACCGCCTTCTCCACCATGAATCCTAACCACCGCCTTCTCCACCATGAATCCTAACCACCGCCTTCTCCACCATGAATCCTAACCACCGCCTTCTCCACCATGATAGCTAACCATCTCCTCCCCCATGTTGGTTAGCCATTCCATTCTCCAATGTCTGATTTAAATCGTATATATTTTAAGCCTTAAAGAATGGGACTCGGTTTTTTTTCCCCACAAAACACGTTGACTATTCTAAATAAACATTTTATACTAATCATCGGGCTTTTCGCCTCCAGTTTAGGTTGGACTCCTCAATGAAGAATCACCTTTCCACGCAGATATTGAACATCTCGGCTTTCATCAGTCTCGCGTTACTTCACATCCACTAGTTCCATGAAGGAGTGCACAGAGCTCCTCTGCTGGACTTAACGTTTGGGGGTTTGAAGCTCCAATCACCTCCTTTGGCAGCCAGTAGAGGACTCGCCTATGGAGCACACTGACTATGATCTCCATGGGGCTACAGAGATCATTATGAATCCAAAGATGATTTCCAAGAAGACTCAGCTGGATGAATTCCTGTGTGAAGCCCTCTTGGGGGACAATTAAAACGTCTGATAATGACATACGGTGAGGGATGACATCATTACATCTCTGCATGTTCACTACGCTGTGGATGAGCGCTTTATTGCTCAACTTTATCAACAGAATTCGGCAGGGAACGGTAATTCGATATCTGCTCCATTATAAACAAAAAGCAGCAAACAGTCAACACGTCGGTTCCACAGCCGTTCTACAGGAGACTCTCTCGTTTCTGGGTCAGAAATGACCAGTTTGGTCTGGCTTGAATGAGGGTGGAGGTGGGCCTTACAGGTGGCTCTACCCCTAAAAATGATTCCCCCCCCCCCCCCTCCTTACCCTGACCCTGGCGATGTTAACGCCGCTCATGCTGCCGCTGCGGTCGATAAGGAAGATGAACTCTCCCTGCGTTTTGCTGAGGTCGGTATGCGGCGTCTGAAGGTTCGGGCAGAAGTTTAACATCACCACGGGGTTGTGACAGATATCCTTGATCAGGCGCTTGCGGATGATCTCCGTCTGTCACAGAAAAAGGAGGATCAGCAAAAACATAAAAAATAAGGAAAATAAATAAAAACAAAATTAAATAACAGAAATAAAAAAAGATTAAATATTGTAAAATAAAAATTGTAAAAATATTTCTTTCAGGATACCCATAGGGAAGAAAAATATATATTTTAAAAATATTCCCCCCAAATATATTGGCATATATTTGAAAAACTACAATTTTGGCCACACTCAATATATATATATATATATATATATATATATATATACATATATATATATATATATATATATATATACACACACACGTATATACAGTTGCAAGAAAAAGTATGTGAACCCCTTGGGATTACGTGGAGTTTTGCATGAATTGGGCATAAAATGTACTCTGAATGTCATCTAAGTCACAACAATAGAAGAACACAGTCTGCTGAACATAATACTACACAAACATTAGATGTTGCCATGGTTTAACTGCACATAACATGTAAACATTCACAGTGCAGGGAGGAAAAAGTATGTGAACCTTTGGACTTAATAACTGGTTGACCCTCCTTTGGCAGCAATAACCTCAACCAAACTTTTCCTGTAGTTGCAGATCAGACCTGCACAACGATCTGGAGTCATTTTGGACCACTCCTCTTCACAAAACTGTTTCAGTGTAGCAATATTCTTGGGATGTCTGGTGTGAATCGCTCTCTTAAGGTCATGCCACAGCATTTCAATCGGGTTGAGGTCAGGACTCTGACTGGGCCACTCCAGAAGGCGTATTCTGTGCTGTTGCAGCCATTGTTTTGTTGAATTACTTGTATGCTTTGGGTCATTGTCCTGTTGCATCACCCATCCTCTGCGGAGCTTCAGTTGGCGGACAGATGGTCGTACGGTTTCCTGCAAAATGTCTTGATAAACTCTGGAATTCATTTTCCCATCAATGACAACAATCCGTCCAGGCCCTGAGGCAGCAAAGCAGCCCCAAACCATGATGCTCCCTCCGCCATGTTTCACAGTGGGGATGAGGTTTTGATGTTGGTGTGCTGGGCCTTTTTTTCTCCCACACATAGTGTTGTGTGTTCTTCCCAAACAACTCAATCTTGGTTTCATCTGTCCACAATATATTTTGCCAGTAGTGCTGTGGAACATCCAGGGGCTCTTTTGCAAACTTCAAACGTGCTGCAATATTCTTTTTGGCCAGCAATGGCTTCCTCCGTGGTGTCCTCCCATGTACTCCATTCTTGTTTAATGTTTTCCTTATTGTAGATGTGTCAACAAAAATGTTAGCATGTGCCAGAGATTTCTGTAGGTCTTTAGCTGACACTCTGGGATTCTTCTTTACCTCATGCAGCATTCTGCGCTGTGCTCTTGCAGTCATTTTTACAGGACGACCGCGCCTAGGGAGAGTAGCAACAGTGCTAAACTTTCTCCATTTGTAGACAGTCTGTCTTACCGTGGACACATGAACATCAAGGCTCAAGGAGATACTTTTGTAACCCTTTCCAGTTTCATGCAAGTCAACAATTCTTGATCGTAGGTCTTCTGAGAGCTCTTTTCTGCGAGGCATGGTTCACTTCAGACAGTGCTTCTTGAAACCAGTAAACCCAAAACAGGTGTGTGTTTTAAGGGCAGGACAGCTGTCAGCAACACATCCAATATCATCACACTGATTGGAGTCAAGGTTGGCTCACTCCTGGCTCTAATTAGCTCTGGGAGAAGTCATTAAGCTAGGGCCTCACATACTTTTTCCTCCCTGCACTGTGAATGTTTACATGTTATGTACAAATAAACCATGGCAACATCTAATGTTTGTGTAATATTATGTTCAGCAGACTGTGTTCTTCTTTTGTTGTGACTTAGATGACATTCAGAGCACATTTTATGCCCAATTCATGCAAAACTCCACATAATCCCAAGGGTTTCACATACTTTTTCTTGCAACTGTACATATATATATATATATATATATACATATATATATATATAGTGTGTATATATAAATATATATACTGCATGTTGAAATCCGTTTTTATTACAAAATGAAAAATATTTTTAAAAATAAATTTCAAATATACGGTATGTCTTTAAAAATACAAATCTACATTTTTGGAATGCATTTACAAATATATGTTAAAATGACTTTTATATGTTAAAAAAAAATCTGAAGAATATATTTTAAAAAATATATATTTTTAAAAATGTTTTTTTAAAAATATATTCTTTAAATTTTTTTTTAACATAAAAAAAGTCATTTTAACATATATTTTTCCATATATTTTGTAAACGTATTCCAAATATGTAGATTTGTATTTTTAAAGACATACCGTATATTTGAAATGTATTTTTATATATTTCATGACATCAATAACCAGCGCCACTCCACCCAATAAACTGTGAGTAACGCCTGTGCACAAAATGTACATAAAATATGTACCGAATTATATTTAAAAAAAAACCCAAAAACCCAAATAAAGCACCGGATATATCATGGGTCCAGCGGCTTCATCGGCAGCAGAGTGAAGTCCCTCCTTTTCTTTTTACCTTTTTTTTCTCTGCACTGGGATCCTTTTTGGTTCCTCGGATGAAGTCGCTCTTCCCTCTGAGGAATTGCTCGTACTCATAGGGGGTCATGTCGCCCTCCTCCATCAGGATGTGCGGTAGGTGAGGCTCTGAAAAACGCAGGATGGAGAAAGGGCTTGAATTGGGGAGAAATCTGTATGAGGTCTGTCCAGGAAGGGTGGGGGGGGGGGGGGGGTAAAGGTGGCTCACATAGCAGAGGAACAAAGATGGGATTGTGATGCAAAAAAGAGGTCTCACCCCTGTCCCAATGGGGGGCTAGGAATCGATAGCACCCCTTACTTTATTAAACAGGTTCTCTTCCTTCAGGCTATAAATTCGATGACCTTAAAGGTGAAATCTGAGCATAAAAACATTCAAAGCAGCAACTGAGGATATACATCGATCAGCCGTACCCTTCTGACAGGTAAAGGGAATACCATTGATTATCTCGTTACAATGGTTCCTGAAAGTGGGTGGGATATATTAGGTAGCAAGTGAGCATGTTGTCCCTGAAGTTGAAAGCAGAAAAAAATGTTCACCGCAGTTTGTTGTATATGGGGCTGTGTAGCCGCAGACCGGTCAGGGTGTCCATGCTGACCCGTGTCCACAGCCAAAAGTGCCTACAATGGGCACGTGACCATCATAACTGGACCATGGAGCAATGGAAGAAGGTGGTCTGGTCTGATGAATCCAAGAATGGTTTGAGGAACAGAACAACAAGTTTAGGGTGTTGACTTGGCCTCCAACTTTTTCAGATTTTAATCCATTCAGCATATATGAGAAGTCCTATCCATGGAGGCCCCACCTCACACCGTATGGGGCTTAAAGGATCTGCTAATGCCGGCTTGGTGTCAGATACCACAGCGTACCTTCAGAGGTCTAGTGGAGTCCATGCCTCAGCGGGTCAGGAAAGGGAAACCAACTCAGTATTAGATGGATGGTCATCAGGCCTGGACTGGGACAAAAAATAGGCCTGGGCATTGTAGACTGAGCAATCAATTTTACCAGATAACCGGGGGAGGAAAGACGGGCGTTCGTGGGGGCAGTTGGTGACATGATATTCATGGAGTCGGTCCTCCACACTGTGACACTGCGCATTAGTGTCCCCCTCATTAGAGGTCCCCCATCAGTGTCCCCATCATTATAGGTCCCCCATGAGTGTCCCCCATCATTATAGGTCCCCCATCAGTGTCCTCATCATTATAGGTCCCCCATCAGTGTCCTCATCATTATAGGTCCCACATCAGTGTCCTCATCATAAAAGGTCCCCCATGAATGTCTCCATCATTAGAGATACCCCATCAGTGTCCCCATCATTAGAGGTCCCCCATTGGTGTCCCCATCATTAAAGGTCCCCCATCAGTGTCCTCATCAATAGAGGTCTCCCAAAAGTGTCCTCATTCAGGTCCCCCAATGAATGTCTCCCTTCATCATGTTCTCATCATTAGAGGTCCCTTCATCAGTGTTCTCATCATTAGAGGTCCCTTCATCAGTGTTCTCATCATTAGAGGTCCCTTCATCAGTGTTCTCATCATTAGAGGTTCCTTCATTAGTGTCCTCATCATTAGAGGTCCCCCATCAGTGTCCTCCATCATTAGAGGTCCCCCATCAATGTCCCCATCATTAGAGGTCTCCCATGAGTGTCTCCATCATTAGAGGTCCGCCATCAGTGTCCCCATCATTAGAGGTCCTCTATCAGTGTCCCCCGCATTGAATTCCCTTACCAAGGGCTGGATGGGAGGCTGGGAGCCAGGGCCCAGTAGCCAGAACTCTGTGGGTGGGACTTAGTGGGTTGGACTTGATGGGTGGGATTTGGTGGACTTGGGAACACAGTGCAGCAGCCAGGTCTGTAGGAGGAATTTCAGTTAACTTCTCCACTGAACGCTGGAGGCGGACCTACCATTTAATTGGTTGGTAGACGCCAGGCAGCCCTAGCAACCAACCACCAATGCTGGTAATGGAGGGTGGGAGGTAGGACTGCAGCGGTAGAGCTACTGAAGAATCGTGACGCCTACATGTGGCTGTCACCCCCCCCCCATGGCAGCCCTGCATGTGGCCTTGCGGCCTTGGTCCACCCGGGCAAACGCCCAGTGTGCCCTATGGCCAGTCCGGGCCTGATGGGCATAATGTTGTGGCTGATATCAGGTCCATTTTGCGGGGATCCAAAGACAGCAGCTGTGTGCAATAATATTCCGTCTACAAATCACAACGCATGTCCTGCAATAAGTCGCCCCTCCCTCCATACATCATGAACACCGTGTAACCACATCTGTCCAATCAGTACATCACCCTGAATGACACCCCCCCCCCCCTTCCCCAATATGGCTCAGACAATACACCGGAGTCCCTGAGGGAAACGAACGGGCAAAGTGTGAGATTGGAAGTCGTCTAATTAAACCAATGGCAGTCAATCATCTGCGGGTGCCATGTTGTTGCATCTGCTGCCTCCCTAAGTCGCCCCTCCCAACATCTGGGATCCAGTTGCTCGCCTGCTCTCCGGACCCTATGAATGGGGACCTTCAATAGAAATGGCATTTTCCCCAAATATTGGAGCTTTAATTGGAGATAAGTAACGGCTCCCTGGGAAGCCAAGCGATGCCACCCACGGTGCAAATTTTAGGTGGTTCATCAGGAATCTTCTGGGATTGACCCCGTCCATTCACACCCCAAACCACCACACACACACACATTGCCATTCTCATCTGCTGGAGGGCTCATTACCAACGCTGGGGTGGATGAGGATTTCCACTGGACGGTCATAGGTGTGCTTGTTGGCCAGGGTGATCATGATGCTCTTGGCGGAAGGAGCAGAGGGGGTCAGCGTCGGCGCGGATCTCATGGGTGGGACTCTCCACACCTGGAATATGAACGCAGTACCGGAGGTGAGTCAGAGGAGGCAGCAGACAGTCTGTTTGTAGGTCGGTCTGTCTCTCCTTCATCTTCACTTGTGGATCAGTGTCCCGTCTGTCTGTAGCCTAGGCACCATGGGGGTTGATTTACTAAAGGCAAATAGACTCTGTGCTCTGGAAAGTGCAGTTGCTCCAGAGCTTAGTAAATGAAGGGGAAGATTCACTTTGCGAAGAGTAACCAATCACATGCAAGGAAAATTTTTAAAACATTGTCTGATATCAGCAGAGGTTCTCCTCAGATCTAGAGCAACAATTTGCCTTTTGTAAACCCAGCCCAATGTATCATTAGCTTGGTCAGTCGGCATCTACCTGCAGTGCGTTGGTCTCTACCTGCGGTCAGTTGGCCTCTACCTGCGGTCAGTCGGCCTCTACCTGCGGTCAGTTGGCATCTACCTGCGGTCAGTTGGCCTCTACCTTCGGTCTGGTTTTCCTAAACATGAAGTCGTGTCTCACATCCAACATCTCCAGAGGGCATCTGTGGACACGTCAAAGGAGACCTCCTTCCCATCTCCCGTAACCATCAACCTGAAGCAGGATCTACCTTCCCCTTCTGAATCTGATTCTCTTGTGATTACTGGTTTTCCCATTGACCAAATTCATGGTCAGTCTCGATTTCACTCATAAACTTTTCCTTGAAGGAAATAAATTGACTTTTATTTCGAAGGTGTGAACTGTTGGGTTTATTTTGTGTGCTTTAATCTTCGTGGAAAGAAGATTCTGTAACCCTTGGGAGCTATTTAAAGCCCATTGCACCCTTTAAATCCACTCAAACCCAACCCAACCCAAAAGACACTTTAATGTTGCTTTTCACAAATTTAGCTAAAATTCTCCGTTTCGCTCATCTCTACCAGATTCTACCATTCTCCCCTTCAATCTCTACCTGTCGTTGTGTCACCATATTTCCATCCCTCTCTTCTGTCCAGTCCTGATAACCTTCTCTGGTCACTCACCCGCCAGGAGGTACGGAGCTCGGATCTCCAGGTGGAAGGTGAGTTCATACTCGATGGTGTTCACCGCTTCTGTCTCCAATAAAGTTGCCAGGCAGAGCTTCTTGGTGCCTCCGGCCAGACCAACCTCCCTCCTGTGAACAAACACCAGAACTGAAGACTCAATATCACAGAAACTATCTCAAGAGGGGCATCATTGTTTGGGCAAAAGCACACCAGGAGGGCCATGCCTGGTTCTTGCATAGCCTAAAAACAGGAGGAGTCATTGACCCATTTTCTTTATACTTGGCTATATAGACACCTGGCCATCACACCTATAAAAGCTTGTTGAACAAACCATTCCAAAACCATAGTTATTGCCCTCTGCCCCCCCCCCCCCCCATGTCCATTAATATGGAGTTGCACCCTCTCCCCATGGTCAATAATATGGAGTTTCCCACTCTCCCCATGGTCATTAATATAGAGTTGCCCCTCCCCCCATGGCCATTAATATGGAGTCGCCCCCTCCCCCCATGGCCATTAATATGGAGTCGCCCCCCTCCCCCCATGGTCATTAATTTGGAGTCGCCCCCTCCCCCCATGGCCATTAATATGGAGTTGCCCCCTCCCCCCTTGGCCATTAATATGGAATTGCCCCCTCACCCCATGGCCATTAATATGGAGTTGCCTCCTCTCCCCATGGTCAGTAATATGGAGTTGCCCCCTCCCCCCATGGCCATTAATATGGAGTTGCCCCATCTCCCCATAGTCATTAATATAGAGTTGCCAAATAAAAATAGTTGGCATTCCAATTCATCCCAAAGGTGTTCAGTAGGGTTGAGGTCGGGTGCAAGAAACTTGAGTTCCTCCACCCATCACACCTATCTGAGCTTGTTGGACATCCAATCCAAAACCATGGTCATTATAGAGTTTCAATGGCCTTCATTACAATGGATTTACCCTTTTTGTGGCTATTACATCCTCCAGTTTTCTAGAAAGGCTTTCCACAAGGTTTTGGAGGGTGTCTGTGGGAATTTTTACCTATTGAGAAGTCTGTGCCTTACGTTGGGCACCAAAAAAAACAAACACCTGGCCTGCAGTCAACATTCCAGTTCATTCTAAAGGTGTTCAGTACGGTTGAGGTCAGAGCTCTGTACAAGACACTCAGGTTCCTCCACCAAACTGGACAAACCATAGTGGGACAGAAAAGGACCTTCACCAAACTGTTACCACAAGGCTGGAGGAGCCCAATTGTCTACAATGACTTTGTATGAAGGAGTATTACTGGGACCCTTCACTGGAGACACCTCAACTCCATCATATGGAGGCGAGTCACAAACCTTTATAGTGCACAAACATTTAATACATGCAGAAGGATTCTTACAATCTCAATGGGGTCACGGCGGCTAAGGCGCTGTCAGAGGTGCTTTGCGTCACCCTGGGAACGCAGACGGGGGGGACCAGGACCCTGACAGCCCCGCTGGAGAGTGTGGGCAGCTCCGAGGATGTACTGATCAGCACAGACACGCTCTCCTGAGCCGGCACCACCCCCAGATTGGCCACAAAAATTATCCTTTCCAGGTCTTCGTCCAGCAGAATCCGCCCTGAAGAGAAAAAGGTAATAAAAACCGTAAATTGTACGCTATAAGAGATGCATCATGGGGAATCTTGTGAGAATTGAGAGCAAGAGGAATGCAGCGCACTATCAGAAAATGTGCCGGAAATCTGCGCATAGGCCGCTCTTGGACCTTCCGGCACAACAATGACCCCCAAGCACAAGGCCAAGCTGACCCTACAGTGGTGCAGCGGGAAAAGGTGAAGGTTCTGAAGTGGCCATTACAGTCTCCTGACCTTCATATCATCGATCTGCTCTGGGGGGATCTCAGACATGCGATTTATGCAACGCTTTACATGACCGGCCAAGACGAATGGGTAGATGTACCACCTGCAAGAATTCAGGGGCCTCATAGACAACTATTGATCCTACAGGGGGCCGCCGTCATTGATCCTACAGGGGGCGCTACACAGGATAAGGAACTAAGGGGGTGCAGACTACTGAACACCAGTGGCGTCCCGAGGCAGGTGCGGGGGTGTGGGGTGACACCGACTGCACGGGGTGACACCGGACCCACTCCACGAAAAGGTAAGTTGTAAAGCAAGCCGACGATTGGCATTGGCATTCACCCCGTATAGGCTGAATGCCAACGATCCCCACAGGATGGATCTGATCTGCGGATCAGGGAGCATAATGGATCGGACGCAGATCAGGGAGCATAATGGATCCGACTCAATCCTCAGATCCGAACCATCCTGCGGGGATCGTCGGCATGCAGCCTATACGGGGTGACACCGGACCCACTCCAAGAAAAGGTAAGTTGTAAAGAAACCCGACGAACCCCGCAGGATGGATCGGATCTGCGGATCGGGGAGCATAATGGATCGGACTCAGATGCGAAAAAAAGCGAACGTCTGACACAAAACGATATTTTTACTTTTTTTCCTCCCCGGAGACTCATCTACGTCCAACCGCGGCTCATGAAATTCAGAGAACTGAATGCGTTTTTTTTTTTGCGTTTTCTTTCCCCGTCTGCAGCTGTTTGTGGCGGCAGAAATTTGTGAATAATCCTCATTATCTGCCATAGACTTCGGGGAACTAACCGGATTTCCAAGGCAACTGGAGAGCCGTGTTAATGGTTTCGCGGATGCGTTTAACCCGGCGCTGGGGGCCGAGACCTAACCCCTCCCCCGCCTCGGTGTCTCCCTGGTCACCAGAAAAGCAGCCGAGTGATTTAATGACCCAGAAATTCTCAGAATGGCGCGGAATGCGTTAATGAGCTCGCACCTAACATGGGGACGGCTTGGAAAGGAATTAGCGCAGCGATGACGGCTTTTACCTGTGGGAGGGGGATTGGACACGACCACATTGTGTGTATTATGGGGGCAACAGACGGGTCGATTTTCGCAGTGGGTTAATTGGTTGGCCGTGTTTCGGCACATTTTTTTTATCGGTCATGTTGGAAAATTTTGAAGGGCGATGATGGGCAAATCGGCCGATCGTTTTACCGATAAAAAATCTGCGCGTGAGCCATGACGAAGAAGGAGAGAGGAGGAGAGAGAGAGAAGGAGGAGAGAGGAGGAGGATAGAGGAGGAGGAGGAGGAGGAGAGAGAAGGAGGAGAGAGAAGGAGGAGGAGAGAGAGAGAGAGAAGAGGAGGAGGAGGAGAGAGGAGGAGGAGAGAGGAGGAGGAGGGAGAGAGAAGGAGGAGGAGGAGAGAGAAGGAGGAGGAGAGAGAAGGAGGAGAGGATAGAGAGGAGGAGGAGGGAGAGAGGAGAGAGGAGGCAGAGGAGGAGAGAGAAGGGCAGAGGAGGAGAGAGAAGGAGGGAGAGAAGAGGAGGAGGAGAGAGAGAGAGGAGGAGGAGAGAGGAGAGAGAGAGGGAGAGAGGAGGCAGAGGAGGAGAGAGAAGGAGGAGGAGGAGAGAGGGAGGAGGAGAGAGGAGGAGAGAGGAGGAGAGGAGAGAGAGAGGAGGAGGAGGAGAGAAGGAGGAGGAGGAGAGAGAAGGAGGAGAGGAGGAGAGAGAAGGAGGAGAGGAGAGAGAAGGAGAGAGGAGAGAGAAGGAGGAGGAGGAGAGAGAAGGAGGAGGAGAGAAAAGGAGGAGGAGGAGAGGAGAGGAGGAGAGAGAGGAGGAGGAGGAGAGAGAAGGAGGAGGAGAGAGAGGAAGGCAGGAGGAGGAGAGAGAAGGGAGGAGGAGAGGAAGAAGGAGAGAGAAGGCAGAGGAGGAGAGAGAAGGAGGAGAGAGAAGGCAGAGGAGGAGAGAGAAGGAGGGAGAGAGAAGGAGGAGGAGGAGAGAGAAGGCGGAGGAGGAGGAGAGAGAAGGCGAGAGGAGGAGGAGAGAGTGAGGAGGAGGAGAGAGAAGGAGGAGGAGGAGGAGGAGAGAAGGAGGAGGAGGAGGAGGAGAAGAGAAGGAGGAGGAAGAGGAATTCCAGTCCGCTTATATTTTATATGAAAGTCTTGCGGTTGCAACAATGTATCTATTTGTATCCGAATAAAAACATCTGTATCCGAAATGGATACAAAAATAGATACATTGTTGCAACCGCAAGACTTTCATATAAAATATAAAAGCGGACTGGAATTCTTCTTCATTTTTTGTGTCTTCTTCTTTTCTACTTCTTTTTCTTATGTATTGCTCCCCTGTGTGCTCCCCTGTCTCTGCAAGGGACAGAAGTAATTATGGGGTTAAATGCCGGACAGGGGCGGACTGCCAACTCATGGGCCCCCTGGGCAATAGGGGATCATGGGGCCCCTGTGTCCTTGCCCAAACTCAAAAAAGCAAATGAAAAAGATACAGGGGCATCTCATGGGGCCCCCTACTGACCCCTTTAGGGCCCTCGGGCAGTGCCCGAGTTTCCAAATGGTCAGTCCGCCCCTAATGCCGGCAATAAACGGGACGAAAATCGGCCGTTTTTTTACCGTTGGCGGTAACGTCAGCCGATTGAACGACCAATTTTTTTTTTTTTAAACGGACGATTTTCTACCCATCTATGGCCTTTCATAAGTTGCTGTGAAGGAGCGATAATAACATCTCCATTTTAATTGGACGATTCGCTGCAAGTTGCATCCTTTTAGGTGCCAACAGCAGAGACGGCTTTATCACCAGCGACACCTAAAGGCTACAAGGAGGTACCACAGGAAGCAGGCAGTGTGGGCCTTCCTATGGAGTTATCTATTGGCCAATGGCGGGTGTGCGTCATAGCGCAGGGCCAATAGGATTGAAGACTCATTTCACTGCCAGGAGACACCGGTCCTCATTCAACCTTCCACACCGACCTTGAAAAATTCTCTTCTCATTTCTTTTAACATTGACTGCCTAGAACCTATGGGGGAGGAGTCATTTCCTCAGTCTCCTCCCCCAGTGATTAGACTGTACATTGTAACTTTGTAGAAGGAGGAGGAGGCATTTCCTCAGTCTCCTCCCCCAGTGATCAGACTGTACATTGTAACTTTGTAGAAAGGGGGAGGAGGCATTTCCTCAGTCTCCCCTCCCCGAGTGATCAGACCGTACATTGTAACCTTGTAGAAGGAGGAGGAGTCATTTCCCCCTCAGTCTCCCCTCCCCCAGTGATTTTCTATTCTATTTTTTATCTATTCTATTCTTTTCATTTCGAAATTCAGAAGACGGCTATATTCTTTCTATTCTGTTCTAGTTTTTTCTATTCTATTCTTCTCGATATATTTCCGGATTTCGGGGACCGATGGTTATATTACACTAATACTCACACAGTCCTTGAAGGAAGTCAGGAATATTTTCATCATTGAATTTGGATAATTTTTTATTTTGGAAAACTAAAAAGGCTTTTAACGTTTTGAGGCTGTTTTTATTTTGGGGGGGGGGTGAACCCCGTGACCCCGCAGTGCTCACCATTTGCCCTCCAGCAGCCTCCCGCTGGACATGCTGCAGTAGTCGTAGTACGATTCGTCCATCTTGGCCTTGTCCTTGATCTGGACGGTGATGATTCGTCTGCAGATGACGGCCTCAAATCCCACCACCACCGTGTGTTCGTTCAGAGGGGAAGACGAACAGAGCTGGGGGAGGGGAGGAAACCATTGTCAGAGATTGTAAAATGTGTGACCCACCAATCAGAGACCCCGACTTCATACCTAGAACTGTGCACAGTCCCGGATGCCGGGTGTCATTCTCGGTATCTGTCCTGATTCTGTATGTATGGACTCTGCACAGTCCCACTTCTCCTGTCCCGGATGCCGGGGTGTCATTCTCGGGATCTGTCCCTATTCTGTATGTATGGACTCTGCACAGTCCCACTTCTCCTGTCCCGGATGCCGGGGTGTCATTCTCCATATCTGTCCTTATTCTGTATGTATGGACTCTGCACAGTCCCACTTCTCTGTCTGTCGGATGCCGGGTGTCCATTCTCGGTATCTGTCCTGATTCTGTATGTATGGACTCTGCACAGTCCCACTTCTCCTGTCCCGGATGCCGGTGTCATTCTCGGGATCTGTCCCTATTCTGTATGTATGGACTCTGCACAGTCCCACTTCTCCTGTCCCGGATGCCGGTGTCATTCTCGATATCTGTCCTTATTCTGTATGTATGGACTCTGCACAGTCCCCACTTCTCCTGTCTCGGATGCCGGGTGTCATTCTTGGTATCTGTCCTTATTCTGTATGTATGGACTCTGCACAGTCCCACTTCTCCTGTCCCGGATGCCGGGTGTCATTCTCGGTATCTGTCCTTTATTCTGTATGTATAATGACTCTGCACAGTCCCACTTCTCCTGTCCGGATGCCGGGTGTCATTCTCGGTATCTGTCCTTATTCTGTATGTATGGACTCTGCACAGTCTCACTTCTTCTCCTGGGTCCCGGATGCCGGGTGTCCCATTCTCGGGATGTCATCTGTCCTTATTGTATGTGTATGTATCTGTCCTTATTCTGTATGTATGGACTCTGCACAGTCCTCACTTCTCCTGTCCTGGATGCCGGGTGTCATTCTCGGTATCTGTCCTTATTCTGTATGTATGGACTCTGCACAGTCCTCACACTTCTCCTGTCCCGGATGCCGGGTGTTATTCTCGGTATCTGCCCCCATTCTGTATGTATGGACTCATCACAGTCCCACTTCTCCTGTCCCGGATGTCGGGTGTCATTCTCGGGATCTGTCCCTATTCTGTATGTATGGACTCTGCTCAGTCCCACTTCTATGTCAGCAGTGGGTAGTTGCAGTGCATGCTGGGAGTTTGGGATTTACCTTCCGCTGACTGGCTGTCAGGGTTGCTGTAGGTAAGTGACGCCGTCATCCCCAGGGCGTAGCCGCTGACACAGGCGCTGATCTCTGAGGTTGTCAGGGGCAGGGGCCCCGGTGAAGCGGTTCATCAGTCCCGGCATCCTGGTGCCTCTGTCCTGCAATACACACACACACACACAATGAGACATACCTGGGGGGGTCCCCAGGGAGCAGATCACAAGGGGGAGGAGAGCTCAGGTGCAAATGTGGATTGCCATGCAATTATCGGGCCAATCCTGAAACATTACAGACGGGGGTACCACCGAGGAGAAGAGTACCAACCCCATTTAAAGGGGGTGTATACCCCAACCCGGATGCCAACAGTCCTTTTTTTATAGGCCAATCAGGCAATTTTCGTCCTGCCCGTAAATGCCCATAAATCAGGGGCGGACTGACAACTCATGGAGCCCCCGGGCAATAGGGGATCATGGGGCCCCTGTGTCCTTGCCCAAACATAAAAAAGCCTATGAAAAAGGTACCAGGGGCATTTCATGGGGCCCCCTACTGACCCCAGTCCCCCGGAAAGTGCCCAAGTTTCAAAATGGTCAGTCCGCCCCTGCCCATAATACATGCCAGTGAAAAATGTCTGTGAAGGCTCGGCTCAGAACTGTGCTATCACCAGTTCCAGGACCACCTGAGTCCCAAGACCATCCAACTGTGTTTTGGGCTGGCGCTGGGGGATGAGGGGGTCGGGTCTGCTGTGGAGGAGGCTGTGCGCGAGGTGAGCCTCAAGCAGCCAGAGTGGCAGAGCTGGGCGGTGCCTCGTGTTTCGACAGAGCCCCCCCCAATCACCAGAGGCCCTCTAGGGCACCCTCCATCACCAAAGCCCCCACTCACTGGCAACCCCCCTCATTCCTGGAGTTCCACGGAGGGCCTCTATGTCACTGGAGATCCTCTGAGAACCACCCATATTCCTGGGGATTCCCTGAGGACCACCCTCATCCCTGGAGATACCCAGAGTACCACCTTCATCCCTGGAGATCCCCCTGAGAACCACATTTATCCCTGGAGATCTCCAGAAGACCACCCTCATCACTGGAGATCTTCTGAGGACCACCCTCATCCCCTGGAGATCCCGAGGACCACCTTCATCCCTAGAGATCCCAGGAGGACCACCCTCACCCCTGGAGATCCCCAGAGTACCACCCTCATTGCTGGAGATCCCCTGAGAACCATGCTTATCCCTGGAGATTTCCAGAGGAACAACCTCATTCCTGGAGATCTCTTGAGGGATACCCTTATCCCTGGAGATCCCAAGGACCACCCTTATCCCTCTCTGGAAATTCCCTGAGGACCACCCTCATTCCCTGGAGATCCCCTGAGGACCACCCTCATCCCTGGAGATCACCTGAGAACCACCCTCATCCCTGGAAATCTCCTAAGAACCACACTTACCCCTGGAGATCTCCGGAGGACCACACTTATCCCTGGAGATCCCCTGAGGAGCACACTTACCTCTGGAGATCACCTGAGGACCACCCTTATCCCCTGGGGATCCCCTAAGGACCACCCTTATCCCCCTCTGGAAATTCCCTGAGGACCACCCTTATCCCTCTCTGGAAATTCCCTGAGGACCACCCTTATCCCTCTCTGGAAATTCCCTGAGGACCACCCTCATTCCTGGAGATCCCTGAGTGCAATATCAGCAAAGCCGAAGCCCCACAGTTATACAGTGCTGTGGGTGCCTTATGCCAGTGAGGAGTAGGTAGTACAATCTGGTGGATGATGGATGGATATGTGGAGAGTCCCTCTCCATATTGAGAAAGCCTTCCAGCATGGAATTCATTTGAACTTCCAAGCCAAGGTAACTTCTGTGCCCACTTACTATTACCTTTGCCCACCCATGTGACATCATCTACTTTGCCCACCTGCTCATGCATCACGTACTCTTCCCTCCCTGTCTTCACCACCTGCCATCACCTATCACCATGTAATGTTCCCTTTTATCCCCTACTGTGCCTACCAGCCATCACCTACCACCATGGGTTCCCTTTTATCCCCTACGGTGCCTACCCTGCCATCACCTACCACCATGTAATGTTCCCTTTTATCCCTACTGTGCCTACCAGCCATCACCTACCACCATGTAATGTTCCCTTTTATCCCCTACGGTGCCTACCTGCCATCACCTACCACCATGTAATGTTCCCTTTTATCCCCTACGGTGCCTACCAGCCATCACCTACCACCATGTAATGTTCCCTTTTATCCCCCTACGGTGCCTACCTGCCATCACCTACCACCATGTAATGTTCCCTTTATCCCCTATGGTGCCTACCTGCCATCACCTACCACCATGTAATGTTCCCTTTTATCCCCTACGGTGTGCCTACCAGCCATCACCTACCACTATGTAATGTTCCCTTTTATCCCCTACGGTGCCTACCTGCCATCACCTACCACCATGTAATGTTCCCTTTTATCCCCTACGGTGCCTACCTGCCATCACCTACCACCATGTAATGTTCCCTTTTATCCCCTACGGTGACTACCTGCCATCACCTACCACCATGTAATGTTCCCTTTTATCCCCTACGGTGCCTACCTGCCATCACCTACCACCATGTAATGTTCCCTTTTATCCCCTACTGTGCCTACCAGCCATCACCTACCACCATGTAATGTTCCCTTTTATCCCCTACGGTGCCTACCTGCCATCACCTACCACCATGTAATGTTCCCTTTTATCCCCTACTGTGCCTACCAGCCATCACCTACCACCATGTAATGTTCCCTTTTATCCCCTACTGTGCCTACCTGCCATCACCTACCACCTGTAATGTTCCCTTTTATCCCCTACTGTGCCTACCAGCCATCACCTACCACCATGTAATGTTCCCTTTTATCCCCTACGGTGCCTACCTGCCATCACCTACCACCATGTAATGTTCCCTTTTATCCCTATCCCCTACTGTGCCTACCAGCCATCACCTACCACCATGTAATGTTCCCTTTTATCCCCTACGGTGCCTACCTGCATCATCACCTACCACCATGTAATGTTCCCTTTTATCCCCTACGGTGCCTACCAGCCATCACCTACCACCATGTAATGTTCCCTTTTATCCCCTACGGTGCCTACCTGCCATCACCTACCACCATGTAATGTTCCCTTTTATCCCCTATGGTGCCTCCTGCCATCACCTACCACCATGTAATGTTCCCTTTTATCCCCTACTGTGCCTACCAGCCATCACCTACCACATTTGTTCCCTTTTATCCCCTACGGTGCCTACCAGCCATCACCTACCACCATGTAATGTTCCCTTTTATCCCCTACTGTGCCTACCAGCCATCACCTACCACCATGTAATGTTCCCTTTTATCCCCTACGGTGCCTACCTGCCATCACCTACCACCATGTAATGTTCCCTTTTATCCCCTACGGTGCCTACCAGCCATCACCTACCACCATGTAATGTTCCCTTTTATCCCCTACGGTGCCTACCTGCCATCACCTACCACCATGTAATGTTCCCTTTTATCCCCTACGGTGCCTACCTGCCATCACCTACCACCATGTAATGTTCCCTTTTATCCCCTACTGTGCCTACCAGCCATCACCTACCACCATGTAATGTTCCCTTTTATCCCCTACGGTGCCTACCTGCCATCACCTACCACCATGTAATGTTCCCTTTTATCCCCTACTGTGCCTACCAGCCATCACCTACCACCATGTAATGTTCCCTTTTATCCCCTACTGTGCCTACCCATCACCTACCACCATGTAATGTTCCCTTTTATCCCCTACTGTGCCTACCAGCCATCACCTACCACCATGTAATGTTCCCTTTTATCCCCTACGGTGCCTACCTGCCCATCACCTACCACCATGTAATGTTCCCTTTTATCCCCTACTGTGCCTACCAGCCATCACCTACCACCATGTAATGTTCCCTTTTATCCCCTACGGTGCCTACCTGCCATCACCTATGTACCACCATGTAATGTTCCCTTTTATCCCCTACGGTGCCTACCAGCCATCACCTACCACCATGTAATGTTCCCTTTTATCCCCTACGGTGCCTACCTGCCATCACCTACCACCATGTAATGTTCCCTTTTATCCCCTATGGTGCCTACCTGCCATCACCTACCACCATGTAATGTTCCCTTTTATCCCCTACGGTGCCTACCAGCCATCACCTACCACTATGTAATGTTCCCTTTTATCCCCTACGGTGCCTACCTGCCATCACCTACCACCATGTAATGTTCCCTTTTATCCCCTACGGTGCCTACCTGCCATCACCTACCACCATGTAATGTTCCCTTTTATCCCCTACGGTGCCTACCTGCCATCACCTACCACCATGTAATGTTCCCTTTTATCCCCTACGGTGCCTACCTGCCATCACCTACCACCATGTAATGTTCCCTTTTATCCCCTACGGTGCCTACCTGCCATCACCTACCACCATGTAATGTTCCCTTTATCCCCTACTGTGCCTATCCCCTACTGTGCCTACCAGCCATCACCTACCACCATGTAATGTTCCCTTTTATCCCCTACGGTGCCTACCAGCCATCACCTACCACCATGTAATGTTCCCTTTTATCCCCTACTGTGCCTACCAGCCATCACCTACCACCATGTAATGTTCCCTTTTATCCCCTACGGTGCCTACCAGCCATCACCTACCACCATGTAATGTTCCCTTTTATCCCCTACTGTGCCTACCAGCCATCACCTACCACCATGTAATGTTCCCTTTTATCCCCTACTGTGCCTACCAGCCATCACCTACCACCATGTAATGTTCCCTTTTATCCCCTACTGTGCCTACCAGCCATCACCTACCCTTACTATACACCATAAATGACATTGCTAATGGCATATTGTACTTGTTTGTAGCTGAAATACTGAAATTTGCACCTTAAAACTGTAATTTTTTGAACTTTTGGGCATGACAGTAAAATTTGGGTGTCATGTCAGTGAATTTCAATCTGGTAAGATGGCAACACTGGGTGGGGGTTCCGGGGCAATCTGTGAAAGAGGGAAAACTGATTTGCAGTTTTTCTGGGATTGTTAAATCTTGATATGGGACCTGGAATCCAGAGAATCAGAGAGATCTCGGGTGGGAAAGAACCCTGACTA